CTTTTTAATCCAGATACGGAAGTATGTGGTATAAAAGGAATGCCTATTTGTCCTTTTGGAAGAGAATGATTTTTATTTCCTTTTTAATCCAGATATGGAAGTATGTGGTATAAAAGGAATGCCTATTTTTGGTGCCCATATATATGAGCAATCATTTTTTCAAGGGTTCAGGAGACTTTCATTGGAAAGGAAAAAGAGTGGCAAGTTTCAAGGTTTTCACTACCCTTTCTTGATACTGATAAGAACATTCCTACAGAGATGAACTGTCCCACATTGTTACAGGCTTGTAGGGTGCTGGAGTCTCTTCCAAGCAGTGGTTTCTAGGTTCTTTCTGTCCTAAACAAAGAGTTGATCAAAACAAGCATAAACAGTAGCAAAGTTTTATATTTATTAAAGGTAGGAAAAGAAATATGCTTTGCAGAGCATGTTTAGGCCAAGAAAAAGTAAGAAAAAGGGTACACTCTCCAAAATGGGAGGGGACTACTGTGAAACAATATGGTAGTGCAGAGCCAGTGGTGATTGCCCTTTTACATCTCCCACTCCTCAGGCTGAGGTCAGGTCTAGGCTGTCCTATTCAAAGTCCTTGAGGTCTCTTCTTTTTTTTTTTTTTTCTTCTGGTACCAGGAATTGAACTCATGACCTTGCACTCGCCAGGCAGGTGCTTTGCCGCTGAGCTAAATCCCTAGCCCCAGTCCTTGAGTTCTTGAGAGAAGTCCAAGCTCACACTGTGAGAACTGTTCTGCCCATGTCCTGAGATTTTGTCATTCACAGGTCATGCCTACTTCCCCAGCCAGTTTTACCATGCCCTGTCTTCTGCCTCAATAGCCTCCAGCTGAAATTTCAGACATACCCAAGAGCATGAGCTATCATCCCCACCAAGTAAAATTCAAAAAAACTGTCTGTGATATAAGAGATTAAGCCATCTCATAACCATCAAGCAAGTGAAGGGAGAAATACAAGACATTGTTTGCAAAATAAAAGATGTTCTAGCGAAGAAACTCCATATCAACTTAAATTTATTATCATTTTAACAAGGCACAAGCAACCAATAAACAAGGGATGACAATTTTCAATTACCTAAATGAGTCACCAAGCCGAATTATATTTTAGGAGTGCCATGAAACAAAAGCAAACTTTTACTTCCTTCCAATTATCTAGGTGAAACATCCAATAGTGATATAGGAAAAATAAAACTCCAGACCTGTTGGATGTTAAATGTGCCAAGTTTGTGGTCTCACGACACTGAAGAATGAACCTGTGAGCCAAAGGAGGAAGTTAGGAGAGTTTTATTAGAAATATGGGAAGAAGGGTAGCTCCAGGATTTCCAGGAGGGGTCCTGAATATGTGACCATTCAGGCCTCTCTCGGGTAATTTATACAGCAAGATCACAACATGGGCAAAACAGGTGTCAGATAATGACCAACCTATAGGATTACAAGTATAGCTGCTTAGCTAATACTGATCCAAGAGAAAACAAGACATATAGCAAGGAAAGAACATGGCAAGAACAAAGGCAGAAAGGAAGGGCAGTACAGGCCCAGATGCTCTGGTCACCCAACGATGAGTCTGATGCCCATCTGCACTCATTATACCAAGTGCTGCTAATTATAGTATAATCTTAAATTGCGGTTTATCCCTAGGAGGCAAGCAGGCCTTGCTATTGCTTTTCCCCCCTAAGCCCTGGTTCTCTTCAGATTTGCCTCCAGCCACAATTCTGATGTCTTTATTTTCTGTGCCTTTTTTGGGGGGGGCCTAATCCTCCCCTGTATATTTTTATCTAATGTAGTTGCCTAAAGCACATACACACACACACACACACACACAGATTTGTAAATTCCCCTAGGGCAGAACTGCTACAGTTGAGTGGGCCAAAAATAGTCCAGGGTTTTGTGTGGGACAAGGAAAGAATTGCCAAATGTACCCCTCAGAGTATGTAGTCAGTAACTACCTTTGTTGGTTTTTTTTTTTTTTTCTGGTACTGGGAAACGAACTCATGGCCTTGTGCTTGCCAGGCAAGCGCTATGCCGCTGGGCTAAATCCCCAGCACCTAGTAGCTACCTTTATTGAAGATCATGGGACAGCAGCAAAAACAGGGAGAAGGGTGAAGGGACTGGATAACTCAGAGTTCCAGTATTTATAGGGTCAGACAGGCTGATCCAAGGTTCCCCCACTGTGTCTCTCATTGATGTCAGTAATCTACCTCTTCTGGCATTGTAACCTCCTAAATTTAAACCTGGCTAATCATTAGGGTGGTGGTGTGTTTATGGTTGAAGGGGATGATTTACACAATTTCCCTGTTTCTAACTGTACTGCCTCTTTTTAAGATTATGGAAGCATGGATAATCATTAGGGTGGTGTGGCATTTACAGCTGAATGAAGGGGAAGGAGGGAATCAGCTCCTTGGTTTCTAACTGCACTAGTAATCAGGAAAGTCAGGACCTTAAGCCCCCACCCATGTTTTTACCAGTCCCCACTTCCTGCCTCAGGGTACAAGGCTCCACAACCTCTCCCAACTGATAATGTTCTGAGTTTATCTTGCAATCAAAAGGTGTTTCATGTAACTTCTGTTTCTGTCACACTTCTAAACTCAGGATATAACACCTTCAGACTTCAGCTTTTGTAAAATTCGGCTTTGCTCGACCAACCCAGCCCAACCCAAAGTAAACTACAGTATAAAATCTCCCCGACCCCACTATTTGTTGCCCAGAATTTGGAGAACACAGCTCCTCTGGCTTGGCAGGCATAATAAATAGCTTGGATTCCTCTATCTCTTGGAGTGCCCTTTGGGTTTCTTGCCCCACCAGAGGACTGCAATTCCTACAACACTAGAACTATGACATACTTTTTGCTTTGTGCCTGCAAAGCACAGGGGCAAAGGCTAAGCTCAGTAATTGTGCTAAGGAAGGTGGGGGTTACCTCCATAAAGCCTATTCTCAGACCCATCACAAACATGGTAAGACAGCAAAGGTCTCACTGTTACAGGCAGCTGAGTTAGAAATATTATAGGCAGTCAGACAGGGCCAGGCCCTGGAAGGAGCCAACATGAAAGATAAGATACCTTGTGAATAGAGACGTATTTGCTGTGGGCCAGACCTCAAGGCAAAGGACTACACAAACGTACCTGCATACTTCTTTAGGTGTAAACATCAGGGATTGATATTCTAAATAGGTAGCTATCACCCTCAAAAAGACAAAGAGTCACTAGCCCAACCCCCTACAGGAAAAGTCCCTGTTCTGCATTCATACCCGCTTGCTACCTGACTGGCTTCCCCATTTGATCCCAGTTTACTCGATTTTACCTGAACAATTATACTTGTAATCTTATGGCTGACCATAGTTTTGTCCCACCTTATGCCCACCTCGTAATTTCCCATTTCCCCCCTATCTTGGACCCGCCTCACCTCGTGGTTTTGCCCTATGAAGTCCCTGGGAGGGGCAAGGTCCTTGGCTACCCACTCAAGCCCCCTTCTGTGCCTCTCTCTGAGAGAAGCTTTCTTTCCCTCAATAAATATATTCTGCTCTTCACTTCCGTGGTTCCTAAAATTCATTCTTCGATTTTAGAGAACACGAACTCGTCCCAGATATTGTTCAGGTTGGGAGTTTTATATTCCTGTATCATCACCTCCCATCAGTTCGTTCATTTTTCTTTTTTCTTTTCTTTTTTTTTTTTTTTTTTGCGGTACTGGCGATTTAACTCAGGATCTTGCGTTTGCCAGGGAGGCGCTTGTGCCACTGAGCTATATCCCCAGCCCGGTTAGTTCATTTTTTCAAAACACCCAAACTTAGCTCAGCGGCACAAGCGTCTGCCTGGCAAGCGTAAGGTCCTAAGTTCAATTTCCGGCACCAAAACAACAACAAAACCAAACCACCCAAACTCTCGAGCTACAGTTGCACGCGCATGCCTGTTGGGGAGCTCCTGCAGCACACCGTCTGGGTCCAATAGGAGCAGCCGGAAC